ATGGTCATGTGACCAGTTCCATCATTATACAGGTGAACTTTTAAGATACACATGTTTTTAGTGTTGTTTTAGCATACAGTATGTTCTCTTGTTGTTCCTGAGGAAGTGCCAGGAACACCACATAACCAGCCGTGTGTATCTGCCACGCTTTTTTACATGCTATATATATATATTTTATAGCCCAATGAGGTAGGTTTTGTTTTGTTATTTTGGTGTTTCATGTAGCAGAGCAAGATATAATGATGCAATCTGTATGTAAATCATAAATGTCATGGCAAGGTGAAGAGAGACAAAACCTTTTGAGCTTGCGAAGTCTATGAACTTATTATGCCACACTATAGAATATGTGACATTTAGTGCACTAGCATTCAACAAACACTCAATGACTGAAGATGAGTAATCCAGGCAAGGCAGACTTTACTTCCACCCTCCAAGCTGCTTAAGTTAGTTTTGGATGTGTTTGGATGTAGAACCCGCTGTAGAAGGTCTGATTTTTCAGGATGACTAAAAGAGTCCAGGATCAGAGTCTACAAGAGAGGTAAACCTGGACAGATTGGCCACCGGCAAATGATTGCAATCACTCTGCCTGGATAATTGTGGGTCCTTTTTTAGGATTGGGACAAAAGGAAACACATAAGCATTCAAATATCCACTACTGCCATTAGAAAGTTCACTCTTGACAAGGAATGCCTGCACTCTGTGCTTTTAGGCTGGGTTCACACCTAGTCGGATTGAATATGCGCGGTTCGCGTCACACGTTTTTACCGCAATTTGCGGTAAAAAAATGTGCGACAAACGCGCGTTTCTGAGGGCTAGTTGGCTGTTTCCCAATGGAAACGCCCGACCAAAACGCCCCAAAGAAGTACATGTACTTCTTTGAGCGTAGGGCGGTTTCCCGCGCGTTCGTACTCGCGGAAAAACCCTCATACTTTCTTCTGGGTCTCAGCTCACACGCTGAATCTGGTCACACAGTAACAGAGGATACGGCTCCTACATTTGAAATGTTTTTCTGTGTAGATTGTTGTAAGCTCGATGTTTGTTGAAGATTTGTTGTAAATAGTTTTGATAATTCAGAGCATTGCAAAGGAGAATACAAGCAGTGAAGGAAGGAAGGGGGCAGTTGTGTGAAGGGAGAGATGATTCCTCTCTGCCTCATGGGAGTTGTAGGCAAAGAAAGATGTGCACATGACCAGAATCAATGTGCACGACTCTTACTAAGTGACAGGAAGTGTGACTGGAGAGAAGAGACACAGGAGCGAGCACAGCAGACTTTCTAAAAGGAATAAAATAGTAAAACTTTATTTTAAAACATAAATTTCTCTTTGGAGAATGTTCATTATGTAGATGTGTATAAGGAGAAAAAAGCTGGAGGTTTTGTGTCGCTTTAAGGTTTCAGATCTCCACCTTTCTGTCTCTTTATTTACTGCTGCCCCTCTAGGGTAAACTTGGCATAGCACCCTGCCAGGTGATCGCAGGCCTAGCACTGCTCAAAGGTTGTACAATCCTTGTGATGCATTCTGCTAGCTTAACTCTAATAGCAGGGTCTTACATGTGTAGCAGCTGTATCACAGCTTGAGGAGGATCATTCATCCCAAATGGAGCAGCTTACTCTGACCTTGGAAGCAGTGCTTCCAAAAATATACATTCTGGTCTAGTCCAGATTACACCTGGGGCTAGAACAGGGAACAGCTTTTCCTCTTCTTTTAGGTGTGACTGCTTACTTGTACTTGTGGCCTTCTGCAAGTGTTGGCCGTGCCCTCTAGTTGTGGCATTGTGAACCTCGCAGGGCGGAACACAGCCACAAAATACCTGGGCCTATTGCGTTTACAATATTATTTAACTGAGGTGCTTTTGAATTGTTCTGTATAAATTTATACTGCTTTTTCTAGAGTTCCTGCAGTCTCCCATTTAATTTCACTATCTACACATATTAGGGCCTATCATCTATCTGTTTGACTGCTTACGCGGTGTAGAAAGAAATACATAAAACAATATATACATTTTTGCCCGGAGCAGACCCATGCCACCCTGTGGCTTAGCCTGTTACCTAGGTTGCCACTCCAAGTGACCAATGGCTGAACAAGCAAACACAAAATGTCTGGATACATTTATCCATTCCAGCCTTTTTTCCTCGTTGACATACCCTGTTCAACGAGTTACATCCCTATTTTCTATTACTACTCTTTTCTCATTTCTCTGTTTCTACCCCACCTCCCCTCCCCACTTTTTTCTTCTTCCTCTCACACCTCCCCATTCTTTCCCCTGCACTCACTTTTGTTTGGTCCAGCTTGGATATATATGGAGCCAGTGGCTTTCCATCACAAAATACTTTCGCTCATCTCGTCCCCCATCTTGCTATGAATGCAATAACTTAAGGGGTTAAACTCCCCTACTAAATGTTCCAAAACCTTCCATTACCTGAAACATGTCAAATTAAAATTGCCTGCATTTTAAAGACCCACATTACCACTCTCACCCCACTCACTCACATTTGTGAATACTCATTATCCCAAAATGTATTCATCTAATGCCCAGACCAACACACCAATACATCAATCTACAAACATTGCATTTTTAAATGTCTGGTCACCCTCTCTTTCTTGCTCTCTCTCCTTTTACGCTTCTCTATTTTTCTCCTATTACCTCCTCCCCTTTCCCTTCCCATGTCCCAAATCCTCCTTCCATTGCATTCCTCCATGTCCTTCACCCCTTCTATATTAACCGTAAGCCAACTCTTTCCACACTATCACATACATATTTTACTGCGCTAATCTAACTCTCACTGCCATTCACACCTTCGAAACACTGAAGATCAACAAATAAAGGCTTTAGGGATACATTTATTTCATACGTGGT